GCGGAGGGGCGCAGGAGGGGACGGCGGGAGGGGCGGGGCCGGCGGGGTGGGCGGGTCCATGGCCGGGCCGCGCCCACCTCCCCCCCTTTAGCACCCCCCCTCTCCGGCAGGAGTGGAAAAGAAAGGGTGAGGGAGGGCACTACAGAAGAGCTGTATGTTGGGAAGAGGGTGTCAATAAAGGAGGACAGCATTTTTTATGGGCAGGAGGAGGTGGAATTTGCCATCCTGGTCCTGCAAAGACCAGATCATAGTCCAAATCCCCATTTTATGAACGGGGAAGCTGAGTCCCAGAGAAGGGCCTAGCCTAACTTGGCCAGGGCCAAGATCACGGGGGAAGCTTGAAGGATAGGAAGCGAAATCCTGGCCCCAATACAGGTCCTTTTCATTCCTTAACAGCACCCTTCCCTCTCCCAAAACAAAAAACCATAATTTGCTTTTAACAACCAACTTTGTGCGCCCTGCCTAGGCGGAAGACTAGGGGAAGGCGTACCCAAGAGAAAGCTCCCACGAGCCCACTCCACTGCCATCAGCTGTAAGGAGTTTCCTCTGACAGCGCTGGATGCAAATTAAATACTTCCCAGAAGATTTATCTCCGAGCAAGGCACCGGCCAGATGTAGAAATCGCAAATTGGGTTTTCTTGGTGTCCCTTTCTGGGACACGCGCGGGGACCGCGCTCAGCCACCTGCTGCCTACGGCTCCCGCCATCTTTCTGCCCTGAGTCCACCTCGCGCGCGGCTTTGAGGCCCGGCCATCACTGTTAGGGTCATCCACCTTACCGCTAACAGAACTCTCAGCTGCTTGAGCTCTTGTAAGAAAGAAGGAGGCGCAAGACCTCTGGTGCACCGCACGTAGGCACACTTCGCCGGGGACGAGGAGCATCCAGGCTCTGGTTCACAACACAAGATGGCACTTGAAGGGAGAGGCTGTCACACTTGGTCCGCGACAGGTGGTAACACCTCAGCTGGGGCAGCACAGAACCCTAAGTCCACAGCACCGAGGTCACCTAACCAGGAGCCAGGAACGCGTTGCTCCTGGTCTTCTAGGTTGTGTGGCGCTGAACGGTTTCCGCGCACTTCCTCGCACCTCGGCGCGGACCAGTCATTGGGCAAGATGGATCTACAGCTCTTTTCTTACTCCTGGGCTCAATCTCAGCGTCTGTTCCCACCCTCACGGTGTTCAAATGATTAAATGAGATAAGGATTGTGGAAGTTCTGAGCAAGCTGTAAGAAGTTGTCTCAGCGGGGTTGAACCCTGAAAGCCTCCTTGCCTACTTCTCCAGATCCTTGGCTCCTGGCTGTTTTCCCTCAGCCTTTAAACAAGCTCAAGTCCTAAAGACAAAACTACCATGCCTACCCTGCATTCGAAGTACCCTCTCCAGTTAGCTTCCAAGCCCTTCTCTTCCTCTCATGCAGACCTCTTAAACACAGGTTTCTCCTCCTGTCTCCACTTCCTCATTTCTCAACACTTGGCATTCGAGTTTCCATCCCCATCCTTCCTCACCCAGCTCAGGCAAGAATAACTCATGACCTCCATTTTCCCAAATCTAGCAGGCATTCTGCAGACTTTATCTTTCTGGATCTCTCTGCTACATTTGACACCTCAGATGACTCCCACCCTCTGAAATCTCTTTATTGTCTTGGTTTCCAGAAGAGTACACTCTTCCAGTTCTCATATCTCAGTACATAAAGCCTCTGCCTCCTTGGATGGCATCCTTAAGTGCCACCAGTTGTGAATCTGTGCCTTACATGCAAGACTCCATTCTAAGTCCAGAGCTCTAGTCATACCACTCTTAAGTGATCACCTTCACCCTCACAGTTTCAGTTACCAAATCAGCTATCTCCAGCACAGACCTCTTCCACAAAAGTTAGGCCCTAATATCCAACTGCCTGCCAGACAGCTCTATCTAGATATCACAGGGGCACCCCAGACTCAGCTTGTCCAAAACTGAACTCATCCTCTGCCTTTATAGCAGCCCCTCCCTCAGCTGTTGGCACCACCATCCATAGCCATCATGGGAACGAGTGTAAGTCATTCTTGATTCAGCCATTGCCTTATGCAATCATCCAGTCATCTATTTCACCTCCTTAATGATCCTCAAATCTCTATCTCCATTCCCACTAGCAAAAGTTTCAGTCATCTTTTCCAGCCTCCAAATTCACCATCTACTCTGCTTTCAGAGTGAACAATTTAAAACGCACTCCTATTTAAAATCCTGCGGGGGTTCCCCTGGCTTCTGGATGTTGCATGTACGCCCTAGGCACCCAGGATGAACTCGTCAATGCACTCAGGGTTTTAAATGATCATGAAGGTTTTAAATGATCCAGATTTTAAGAAGCACCCAAAATCCCCAAAGAAAGGCAACACATAGCCAAACAAGGGGAAATTATAGGAAGAAAAAGAGCAATTGAATATTTCAAAAAGTTTCCTGCTACAGATATTTTGGGTATGGATAGAAGAGAATTTGGGCACTGATGGGAGGAGTTGTTGAGTTACTGGAAAGGCATATTTATAGGCTAAGGGAACAGATGAGCCAGAAAAGGAGAAGTCCAGGATGAAGAGAAAGGGAGTGGAGCATGTCTTGCAAAATTCTGGAAAGCCTGTTGATTTTTGGCCCATGATGATTCTGGGCCCTGACTTCTGTACATGCTGAGCCCAGCCCTTCCCTCCTCTGATCATACTCATTCTTTGAGACCCAACCCCTGATTACAACCTCAAATGGGTAACCCCTAGTTCACTGAAAAAATGCAGACCATCAAGGGGGAACCCCCACAAATCTACACAGCAACCTACATCTGCATGCAGTGTCTCCCCCTGACTCCAGTTTGTGCAGAGGGGTAATGCCTCCTCCCAAGAGCTCTAACCCTCCACAAGTACAGTCCTCCCAGAGGTCATGGCTGTTGCCAATGCCAATGGATACTTTCCAGTCCTAATCTCTCTAGCCCTCTCAGCAACATTTATCTCCCTTTCTTGAAACACTTTTCTCTTAGTTTTGATAACTCTCTTTCCCTATTTGTCCACTCCATCTCCAACTCTTGTGGTTACTCCCTCTATCCCAACTCTAAATGGTGCTGCTACCCAGGGCTCAATCCAGGGCCCACTTTTCTCTATAAACTAGCCTTATTGTTTGGGTTATTTTTTTTTCATTTGTCATCTATGGACCTTACAAGAGTTGTGGATGGGCTTCAAGGTGTCTATAAATTTTTTAAACTTGAATGCAGATACTTTTAAAGGAAGAAGTATAGCTTCTATCAGCTTCTCAAAGGCGGCTGAGACCCAAAATAAGGATAAGAGCCCTGAACCACATTCACTCCCCCAGATGACCTCAAACACCATGACTGTAGCTTAATGTACGTCATCTGTATGTACATTAATAACTCACAACCATATATACACCTGCAGTCCAAGTCTCACTTTAGGGTCCCTGGACAATACGTCCATATCATCTTCACATGATGTCTCAGTGTACCTCATAAATTCACTCACCCAAAACTCAACTCTTGCCCTTCTTCCCCAAACCAGCTACTTTTCCAGGCTTTCTCTTCCTTAGCAAAAAACCCTGTCACCCTCCTAGCTCCTCAAGCCAGAAACCTGGGGGTCATTCTTTCCAATCCAGTATCAAATCCACTTCAAATCCTTTCACATCACTCCATCTCTACTTCTACTAGAATAATCCACATCACCTCCATCCATCTCACCTGGAACTACTGTCTGAGCCCCCAGCAGATTTCCCCACTTTCACCCTGCCCGCTTCCGCTACACAGCAGCCAGAGTGTATGACTGTATGTGACTTGGATTATAGCTTCTGATAGAGGTTTTCAATTGCTTCTTATTTCACTGAGAATAAAATGTGAACTTCTTTGAGCTACAAAGTCCAGTATTGGATGTGGCCTGCACATCACTCTCCCTTCACTGGCTCCTGCACCCTTACCTTCCTCCCACCCTAGATCCTGCCTATCTCACCTCATTCCAACCACAGTAAGCCTTCTCTCAGTTCCTCAAACATGCCACAGTCTTTCCTGCCCCAGGACCTTTGCACTACCTTCTCTTGCTCACTTTCCCTTTTTCCGTTACCTGGCTAACTCTTACAAGTTCAACTCTTGGCTGAAATACTTATACATCAGTTCTTGAAAAAGGCCTTCCCTGGCTATTCATTCTTTCCTTTATTTTCTGATGATTTTCGTTCATCTTCTTTATAACCATTATCACAGTTTTAATTACCTGTGAGTTTATGTGTTTAACATCTGTCTCTCCCACAAGACTTCAACTTTGTGAAGATGAGGACAGCTCTTCTGGGGTTACAGCTCCAGAATTTTTCTAGAAGGGGATTAAGAGTGGCAACCTACTTGGAAGAAGAAATGAGGGGTTTTCTTGGGGCTGTTTTTGTATGGCACTTTGTGTAGGACTTAAAAAGTATTAGTTGTCCATATGTGTAAATGGGGAAAGGACTTTTGGGATTATGGAAAAGGGCACATGAAGTATTCTGCCTGTCCTCCCCCAAAGCCATCTCTCATGCTGCTACTGGCAGACACTTAGTTGGTTTGGTTTATCACTATAGAATCAGCACTAGATGAAGCTTGGAATCTGGTAGACACTCAAATGTGTGGTCAAATGAATGAATGAATGAATGAATTTACCATCCCAAACATCATATCCATTAAATACCTTTCCTGACTCTCAGGGTAAGAGTCCCTATTCTGTGCATGCTTTTCACTGCATTTACAACATCAAATAAGTACCCGTTGAGTATCTGTCTTCCATTTGTCTATGTTGTATTTGTCTTTTTGTTTCTACAGATCTAAGCACTTTCACGCATTATCTGACCATTACAACAATGCCAATATTAAAAGCAGTAGTCACTATTATCTGGATTTTTTATAGATTAAGAAACTGAGGAAGCTTTACATGTGTTATTTCATTTAATCCTTGGAACAATCCAGGAAGCAGGTACCATTATTATCCATTTTACAGAATAGGAAAAGATATTAATTCACTCAAAGTCACAGAGCTAATAAACAACACAAAGCCAGGATTCAACACAGGCAACTTGGTTCCAGGGTCAAACTCTTCATCAGTGTGACCAAAAGAAGCCATAGTGATCCAGCCTCTGGGATCCAAACTCTTTGGATTATCTGTTTAAGCATCCAGACTCTGATTTCCTCTTGAGCAGGGACCCAACTAACCCATGTCTGGATCCTCAGCACCTAATGGAGGAACTAGCACATGATGGTACTTGGTAATAAGTATGCTGAGTAAATGGATACCAAGTGATCACTGAGTTTCAGAACCCTAATGTCAAACTAACAATGAATGATTAAGATTCCCATTTTATAGAGAAGAAAGATGAGTTTCACAACTTCACAGGAGGAAGAGATTTGTCGAACTGTCATTCTGACCAACCCCAGCCCTCTTTTGCATTTCTTCTGCTGCTTCCACAAAAGATTACAGGACACGTGTTCAGGAAGACTTCACCTTAAGAAATAAACATGCCACAGCACTTGCTGCCTTTCCTATAAAAAGTACCATTAAAAGTACTTTATGATGTTGGCCTAACAAGCTCTCTCCTTCCTTTAGCTCCTCCTAGGTCATCTTGTCCCTGTTTAGCTTGAACCACATAGGTGTGGGGGGGGGTGTGTGTGTGTGTATGTGTGTGTGTGTGTGTGTGTGTGTGTTGGAACAGGAACAGGAGGAGAGCTGTGAGTCAGACGTCTAGAAATCAGAGTCCAGGGGCCACCACTGACTTCATCTCTGTTGCTAAGCAAAGCGCGTAATCTTTTCTGTCTCTGCCACGAGACAGAAAGCAGGGACCGGCATTCTTCTCAGGCCATGGTGCCCTAGGATACAGTGGATCACATGCCTGTGAATATTGTTTACCTACTCACTGGGTAGATCACAGGACCCCTGCTTAGAGAAGTGCTCACTGCTGGCATATAGCCAGTCATGTGCTAGTGAACGAGTCCTCCTGAAGAAAAAAAGAGAAAAAAGCCCTTATTTGTAGCACCTGCCAATTTCGTGGTGTAAATACTCCCACCATGGCCATTTTCAAGCCACCGACAGTTTAGGCAGCTCACAAAACCCCTGAAAATTTAGCAATCTGCTCTAATGAGCCAAAACAAATCAGCTCCAGCACTCCATTGCTTCTAGTAGGTCCTCATGCAGACGGGGAAGGGAGAAATACAAGCAGCCCTTTAAATGGTGGTTTTAGGCTGTTATAGGGAATTTTCATGTGTTTAGATATAATGATTTCGCTTCTGATGAGAAAAGAGCAAGTGTACTGGACCTGGGAAAACTAAGTCAAATCTTAGCCTTCTTAGAAGTAATGTATTTATTTCTTTGAATTTCAATTCTAATAGGAATAATATTACCTACTTCACAGGATGGTTGATTATCTAACAAACACTTGTATAGCACTTACTATCTGCTAAGCATTAAATACTTTACACATTTGTTTACTTAATCTTTATAACAACACTGTAGGGTAAGTACTATTTCAGTTTAGAGTTGTGAAAAGACCAAGGCATAGAGAAGTTAACTAAGTTCTCTAAGGTCATACATCTAGCAAGTAATAGTGCCAGGATTTGAACCTGGCTCCAAAGTCTGGGCTTTCAGTCTTTAGGGCCCCAAGTCAAAATCAGCTAACTGATTTTACAGAGTTTTGTTGGAACATAGCCATACTCATTCATTTACGTGTTGCCTATGACTGCAGAGCGGAGTAGTTGTAACAGAGACCATATGACCAAGAAGCTCAAAATATTTATAATACTTGGTCCTTTACCAAAAAAGTTGGCCTACCCCTGCTCTATGGTATCCTGCCTGTTTGTATGGGGTGAGACAATGGTTATTATTAAGAGCCTAGTAGTGCCCAGGGACCATACCCTGACATCTGTACTAAAACAACTGTGCCAGTGAAATAGCACTAAGGTGTAAACTTCAGTAAAAATGATCCACCAAAATATGTATTAATAGACACAGATATCTGACTTCATGGGACCCCAACATCTCAGGGTTGGAGTTAATTCATAGATCGCTCATCCCAGCCTTAACTTTCCACTTGGGGATATTGTATTGGGTTTTTGAAGTTAATACTGTAAATTCCTCATGATTAGCCTTTTGAGTTCTGCAAAATGACTCCTCTAAATAGTCGTGGGCTTTTTACACAGCAGAGCAAAGGCACCTCCTGGATGGAGCCCAGGCATCAGGCTCATATCTCCACACGTGTCATTCTGTCTCCGAGGCAGCTCCTCCACGTGGCTGTTTCAGGTGCCAAGCAGAGAAACTCCTGAAAGCCTATTATTCACTGGCCTCTTAAATAGTCGTTAAAAATTTCCCCTGACCTTTGCAGCTACTTCCTGTGAGCCTCTCCAGGACTGCTAGTCACTCATGACCTATTTTCAGAGCTGGCAGTTCTGGCTTCTAAGAGCAAAGGAGGGACAAGCCCAGCCAGGTGAATGTTTCCTTTAGGCTCCTAGCAACAAAATAGAATTGCTTGGTGAAGGTGAAAAGATCGTAGGTCAGATGGGCCAGTGTGATTGCCCCATGCAGACTGATAGATTTTCATCCCACCATAAACCGTGGGTCAGTATCTCAAGATTGCCAGAAGGCTGTTATCAGCTGTTTGCTGAAGACAGTTGCTTCTTTATAGTAATAAAGAAAAAAAAATTGCTCTTGTTTTTTTTTCCTCGGAAAAAAAAAAAGCCTCACCAAAATTGGTAAATTAAGACAGTATTGACTGCATGGAAGTCCAATTGCCAAAGAATTCCTTTCAGAAACATTTGAAAAGTGAGTTGATCCAAAATACGCCTCCACCACAGTTACCTGTAATCTAATCCAGTCTAGAAAGCAGAGTCCAAACAGCTCAAGGTTCTGCAAATTCCACAAGAGCTGCAGGCACAAAAAGAGCAAGGCGTTAAGATGGAGAATACCAGACACATCTCACCATTTCCACATTGTTCTTTGTCACTAGACTCCTTAAATATACTTAAATAGCTCATATTGCCTGCAAAGAAAACCAAAGTGAAACCTCTTGGGGCTTTACTAAAAGTTCCCTTTATAATTTTGTAAGCTTATGTGATTTCTTTAGGATCCCTTTAAATACATTTATGAACTTAGTTTCATTTTTAAAATATACATGAAGTTAAAGAAGTCTCAGGACCCTAAAGATCTGAAATACTCCTCCAAGAAATACCTAATAGCTCCTTTGGGTTTCTGAAACACCTGATTTTATCTCTTCACTAGAAATTATGTCCCTACAAATAAAAATCAGGCTCAGCTCCACCCTCCCTCATGCCAATTAAAATATTCCCAGACTAATTACAGGCTCCAAGAGAGAAGGTTTTTTCGGCACTTTCTTACCCCCGTCATGTGGCTGTGGTAGCTGGTGGTCAATATTGTTATTGTTGCTCTGTAACCTCCATGCAGACAGATATTTTCTCTATTTTGTTCATTCCTGTAGCCCCAGGATCTAGAACGATAAACAGTAGGCAGTAGCCATTTAATAAATACTGAATAAATTTGCCACAGCATTAATAAATATAGAAGAAGGAGGTTTAGAATTCTTAACTTTTTTTTTCAGGTAGGCTGGAAGTCTCAGGTGGATTTCCTCTTTTCCAGGAAAGAGTCAGCTCTTCTTTTAAGACCTTTCACCAGATTGAACCAGTTGATTATCTGGGATAATCTCCCTTCCTTAAAAGTCAACTGACTAAGAATTTTAATCATATAAAAAAATACCTTCACAGCAACATCTAGATCAATGTTTGACTGAATAACTGGGAACTGTAGTTGAGCCAAATCGGCAAATGAAAAAGACCATCACATCCCTCAAATACCTATTTTGGAACTTTGGAAGTGACTCCTAACATATTTATATTTATTTCCTTTTCTTATTTTGTATAAGAAGAACTAAGAAAAATATTTATTTATGTATCAAGTTTCTTTAGAAATGTTCACATCCTCTGCCCTAGATATTTCAATGATAGAAACCTAATAACATAAGCTAGGTACCAAGAAAGAATCACAGATGAAGAAACCTAAGGATAAATAACTTGTCCAATGTAAAATAGGGGGGTAAACCAGCATGTCCCTTCAAAGCCACTTCTCCTTTAACTACAACCCTGTACAAAAATTTGAAACAGAGAAATTGCTTATGCAGAGTTGGTCACTTACACATCATTTATAAAGGGAAAATGGAGGAAGGGAAACCCTAAAGCCCCAAAATAGTAAGCAAAATTTGAATGTAATTTATAGCACATCCACACGATGGGATATTGTGCAAACATTTAATAGTATACCTACAAAGGAAGGAAGTAATGAAGACTAGAGTGACAATAGCTTGAATAGAGAATAAAAAAGCATTATAAAAACCGATGTAACAAAAATTTGATTCTTAGAAAACTCTGATAACACTGACAAATCTTTAGCCAGATGGCAAAGAATAAAAGAGGGAAGACTCAACTTAACCAAAATCAAGAATGGAAGAGCAGACGTCATTACCTATATTCCAGAAATAAAAAGATGTGCAAGGGAATATTATGATAATTGTACGCCAACAAATTAGATACCTAGACAAAATGGATACATTTCTAGAAAGATCCAAACTGTCAAAACTGACTCAAGCAGAAGCAGAAATCTAAATAGACTTATAACAAGTAGAGACTGAATTAGTAATTTTTAAAAGTGCCCACAAAGAAAAGCCTAGGACCAGATGACTTCACTGATGAAATCTACAAACAATAAAGAAGAATACCAGTTCTTCACAAGCTCTTCCAAAAAATAAGATAGGAGGAAACATTTCCCAACTCATTCTGTGAGGCCAGGATTAATCTGATAACCAAAACCAGGCAAAGACATTGCAAGAAAATAACAGACCAATATCCCTTATAAATATAGACACAAATATCCTTAACATACTATTAACAATCAAGTCCAGTAACATGGAAAAAGGATTTTATACCATGACCAAGTAGGATTTATCCCAGGAAAGTAAAGGTTGATCTTACATATAAAAGTTTGATCTTACATATAAAAATCAATAAATGTGCTATACTACGTTAAAAGAACAAAAGACAAAAACCATATGATCTCAACAGACGGAAAAGAAGTATTTGACAAAATTCAATAAAAACACTCATGGCAAAGTTCATAGAAGCATTATTCATAATAACCAAGAAGTGGAAACAATCCAAATGTCTATCAACTGATGAATGAGTATATAATGGAATATTATTTGGCAATAAAAAGAATGAAACATGGATGAGCCTTGAAATCATAATGGTGAGTAAAAGAAGGCAGTCACAAAAGGCTTCATCTTGTGTGATTCCATTTACATGAAATGTCCAGAATAGGCAAATCCACAGAGACAGCAAGTGGTCCACTGTTTGCCAGGGACTGGGGAAGGGGGTCCCAGGAGGATAAAGAGGGAGTAACTGCCAATGTGTACAGAGTTTCCTTTTGGGGTAATGAAAATATTCTGAAATTAGTGATGATGGTTGTACAACTCTGTGTATATGCCATAAGCCATTGACTGTATACTTTAAAAGGGTGATTTTTATGGTATGTGAATAATACCTCAATAAAGTTATTTTTTTAAATAGTGTATTTACAAAGGGTGTTAAATAACATAATAAGGGATCCAAGCCATTGTTTAGTTGTGCCTTTACTTAAATCATATTCCTTCAGGTACCATAACTCAATTCTTTAATCAGATTAGACCACCAGAAGGCCCCAAATAGAATTACATTAATCCAGTGCCTCACAGAATCACCCTAATGGAGTTTCATCTGAATATTTTCCCTATAGTTTTTATCTAAGTTGCTGTCATAAATAGCCATATGGAAGTTACTTCTGTGTTTTTTGTACAAATACTGAGAATATTGCCCATCTCATCATCAGGTCACTCACTGCTCCCTGTATTATAAAATACTTTATGAAAATTATATCTTGTAATTATTTTTAGAAAAGCAATGTCCCTTGGGAATTAACCTTTTTAATAACCAAAATTATACAACTGATAGTGATTTCTTGGAGGAAGCTCAGTTGAATAGTAGCAATTATGTTGATTGAAATGATTAACATATTTCTATCTCCTTTTTTTCTTTCTGTTTTTCTTCTTCTATTCATAATTTGCTATTTTATGGCATGGAATTTTGGCATAAGTCACTTCAAATCCCAATATTCATTTGAAAGATTGGTCCAGGATTTTGGACCAAGGTTCAATATTTAATTGTGCCATATGTTAGATCAAGGTTTCTCTACATCAGCACAACTGACATTCTGAGTAGGATAATTCTTTGGTTGGGGGTGGTGGGGGGCATCCTGTGTGTTGTAGGATATTTAGCAGCATCTTGGCCTCCACCCTCTAGATGCTGGTAGCAGCCTTCCAGTTTACAACCAGAAATGTATTCAGGCTTTGCCAAATGTCCCCTGGAGGGCAAAATTGCCCCTGATTAAATCTTAAATCATTATTGAAAAACTGACCCCCACCAGTCTTTCCAATAACTCTTAAGAAGTATCAAAAATTCATCACTCTAGATGGATAGGTAGGGAGGTGGGTGGATGGATGGATGAATGGATGGATAGATTCATACTTCGCTCACTTGAGATGAATCAAGGACTCTCTGAACTGGACGCCCCCTGAAGCTGAGCTGCTTTCTCATTTCACACACAAAAAAGAATATTCTGATCTATTATTTTACTTAAGCCCAACAATTTACTAAAAAGGAAATTATTATCATTCAAAACTTCAGATGAGGAAACTTAGGAGGGAATATGATCAACTTTAGGGCTAAACTCCAAACTCAGTGCTGTTCCTCTCCCTGCCAGAAGAAGTTCCTTCCCTCTCTCTCTCCCTAGATGCATGAGGTGCATGTCCTAAAGTGCCAACAACTTAAAACGGTGTTTAATTCAGTCAATACCTAGAAAATGGGTTACTCCTTCCCAGATTACATTGTACTTTAATCTAATGAAAACTCACAAATTTCCATTAGATCTAACTTCCTGTTTACAGGCAATGCAGGAGATAGAGGAATAAGTTAGACACTAGTAGGAAATAATCATTCAAATCCAAAAGTGGGGGCATTCCATAAGACAACCAGTCTGAACTCTTCCAAAATGTAGTATCTTAAAAATAAACAACCAAAAAGCAAAACCGTGGAGAAACTATTTTAGAGTAAAATAAACCCCCCAACATGATAAATAATCAAATGCAATGTGGGAACCTTGATGGGAATCCTGGTAGTATGTAAAAGGATTCTTAGAGTGAAGGGAATTTTGAATTTCGTTTGGATCAGTTTTAGTTTTCGTAGATATGGTAATGGCATTGTGGTATAATAAGAGATTGAAGAGACATCTTGTGGAATGTATTTTGGGATAAAGTACCATGATACCTGCAACTTTCAAATAGGTCAACAACAACAACAAGATAAATAGATAAAATAAATACAGTAAAATATTAACATTTTAAAAAGTTTAAATGGAAGATGTGAAGGCATTTGTTGGACTATTCTTTCAATTTCTCTGAATGTATGGAACACTTTCATATTTCACAGAAAGTTGAGGGGAAATTAACAAGCCTCCTTAATACACTGATTCTTAGAGTAGCCCAGAGATCACTTTGGGTGGGTGGGTGAGGGGTCTGTGGTTATGCTTCTCGGGCCCCATGAACTCCTTACAGCTGGGAGCACCAACCTGTGTGCAAACGTAGCTCTACCTTTCTATGTAGTTCTTGTCCAGTTTTTTCAAGGAGATCCCCTGACTTCAGAAGGGCTGAGGCCTACAGGCTTGTCTGAAGACTTTAGGTCTGATGGCTGCAGATGTGAGATTTTTGAACTACAAGACATTTTCCCATGGCTCAAGCCACATGTTGGAGACGGTTGCCTAAAGGTCACAGGACCTTAGAACTGAAAGAAAGGAGCCTTAGGAATGATTTAATTCAACCCTGGAGATGGAAGCTCTGAACTAGGCCTTGTCCAAGGTGAGTAAATTAACTTAATGGTAGAGGAGCAAAGTCCAAATCTGACTCCCGGGATTCCATTCTGCTTATTCAAAGAACCAACTTGTCTGTTCAGTCAGTTGACCTAGTTCTGTGTAGACTAGAAAAGGCAAAACCGTCCTTCTGCAGGCTACAAAGCCTACCTGACCTGCTTCCCTGCCCGCTTCCTCCTGTGCTGTCCCCTCCTACCATCCTATCCAGGTTCACAGCTCACCTGCCACATGGTCCCTTTGGGCTTCTTCTGGTACAGCCAGCACACACGACCTTAGGGCCTTTGCTCTGCTCATCCTTCTTGCAGTGCGCTTCCTCCAAACATTTGCTTGGCAAACTGCCTCACTTTCTCGCTTCTGCTCTGGTATCTCTATGAGGCCATCTGTTTAATACTGCAACTCCCTCCACCAGCAATCGCAACAATATGTGGTCCCACTGATTATTTTTTCCGTATCACCTGTGACCTTCAAACACTCTAATAAATTTTCTTACTTAGTGTGAGGATTTGCCCATGGTCCTTCCAGGATTTGATCTTGACCTTGTTTCCATACCTGTGGCTTGAGAAGTTCCAATCTCCCATTTCTAAACTTCGGAAGGAGACTTTAACCTAGTATTTATGGAGATAGGTCCACTCTCATCTACAAGTGTGAATTTGGGTATTCATACTAAACTCATTTAGTAATGAGTAATTTCACCAGAAATTGAGGCTAGGCCTCAGAGAACAAAAAATGTTAGTGTGGCAACTAAACGCTCTGTGTTTTGCTAGTAATTTTCATTGTAAACATGCATGTATTATTTCACCATGACCTCAAGATTTAGATGAACAAATTAACTGACTGGTAAAGGGATTTTGAAAAAAAAAACTGACAAAATATGGTCAGGTTTTCTTTCTCTATCCCTGGCATTTTGCACTTTCAGAGAGTTTTCCCAGAGTACAAAATCCTGCTCTTTTCTGTGGGCGAATCTCATCCTTTTTTTTTTTGATGCAAAGTTATTTGAATCATCTCTGGCCTCCATTCATCACGACACATCATCACCTCTGTTCACATATTTCTGGATCGCCAGACATAAGGAAAAGAGGTTTAATGAAAGCTTCCTTTAAAAAAAAAAACACTTTCTTTTTTTATGGTTGTTGTTGCCATGATTCATTGAAGAATTATTTAGTGAATGGCTAAATGTTTAGTACCTTAGAATGTGCCAAGCACCAGGGAGACAATAGTATAAAAACACTGCTCCTGTTCCAAGGAGCTCATAGTCTAGTCTAGGAAAACAGAAATAAGAAACCAGAAAATTGAAATACAGAAAGAGAGCCATAACAAAGGAAGTAAGTACAGATTGACTTTCAGTAGGAAACACCATGGGTACAAATTTCCAAAATAAGAAACAAGAACTAGAACAAACAAATCCATAAAGCCTATGAACAGTTTGCATATTTCCTGTGAGTTACTTTTGATTCATTTTAATAGGGTTGTGCTTATCCTGAAGGTAGAATCTGTTATCCTACCTTTTTTTAACTCAAGGTAAGAACATAAGCACTTCTCCCATATTATTAAAAATGTGTTGTAAGCATTGTTTTAGTCATACGAATTAGCTAGAATTTGCTTACCCTGTTTCTCACTGCTTATCATTTACATTGCCTATCGGTTTTGTTCATATTAATTCATTCATTCTGTATTTATTGAACAAGAGTTTAATAAACTCCTTTCAGGAGTCAGACACTGGGCTGGGTTTGAGGATGTAACAGTCTAGTAAGTCTAGACTTCCAGGAACTCAAAAGGTGGAAGAAAAGTAACTGGGAAGGAGACAAACACAATTAAAACAAGGTGACAAAAGGAGGCACAAGGGGTTACCATAGCTCAAAGAGGAACGTTCGGACCAAGAAGTACCACAGACTGGGTGACAAACAACAGACATGTATTTTCTCATAGTTCTGGAGGCTAAAACTCCAAGATGAAGGTGTCAGCAGGTTTGGTTTCTTCTGAGTTCTCTCTCCTTGCCTTGCAGTTGGCCGTCATGCGGCCTTTCCTCTGTGTGTGTGCACCTCCGGTGTCTGTGCATCCTAGTTTCCTCTTCTTAGAAGGACACCAGTCAGATGGGGTGATCATACCCTAAGGGCCTCGTTTTAACTGAATCACCTCTTTAAAGGCCCTATCTCCAAACACAGTCACAGTCTGAGGCTTTGGGTGAGGTCAGGGCCTTAACACGTGAATTTTGAGGAGACGCAATTTAACCCAAAAGATTTAGTGACAGAAAATGTTTCTGGAAGGAAGTGACACTTAGCTCACTCTAGAAGGATGGTAAAGAATGAAAAGTGAAAGGCGAGAGAAATATATATAAAAGCCTAGGGAAATGAAAGAGGATGCAGCATGTTTAGAGGAACTACAAGTATTTCAGTATGACTGCTGAAAGGAGGGAAGAGAGAAATGAGGAGAACAGAGGCAATTACAAATAATTCTGGAGCATATAAAGCTTTATCCATATTTCTGATTATTTCACTGAGATTGACTTCAGTGGGATGATTTGGGCAGAGGATGGGTTCTCCCCACACCAAGCCCCACTCTTTCCCCATGTTTTCTGTATTGATACTTAGTCAGTCATTGAAGTCTCCTGTGGGTGCTGGTCTCCCTAGAGACCTCCCAGGCCTCTCCCTAGAGACTGGCCACTTGTTTCAGGAAAGACACCATCCGTTTTCAGGAGCCCACCATCTCTCCAGGGAGCCATGTGTTTACTTCTCTGCCCTCTTTGCTCTTGGTGTCACTACTGTCTCTCCTAACTTGCATGGAAGACTGGGGCTCCTAGGTTTCCAGTTCACCCTCAGAAGCATCAGGTATGCTGTTTGAATGGAGCACAAACGAATTAAACACCATGGATTTCCTTCCTCAGTGACCTCTCTCTTGAGCTAGATTGTCAATTACTTGTATTTCATCTCCTTGAATCATCACAGCCTGGCACTACCATTTAAAATAAGGAAAGATGTAGGGGGGCATAGCTCAGTGGTAGAGTGCCTGTTTAGCATGCACAAGGGCCCAGGTTTAATACCCAGTGCCTCCATTAATAAACAAACAAACAAACCTAATTACACCCCCCTAAAATTTAAATAAATAAATACAAATTTAAAAAAACATAGAATATAAAAATAGGGAAAGATCGTTGGTAAGTCTTTGCTTCTCAAGGCCTTGGTTTCCCCATCTGTAAAATGTGGGGCATGATATTTTTGGAGTCTCTGATTACATCAAGCACACTAACATCTTTGCAGAGTGCTTTAAAGTGTCTGAAATAGTTTTAACAAATTGGATCTTATTTAATACAAAAATGCCTGATAAATATTTGCTGACAAGAGTGACATACAGTGATGATTCTGTGTAAACTTAAAAGAGCCTACTTAATGTCAAAGTTGCCTCTAATCATTAAGTCTGAGAGCCAATTAGAGGTTTTTAAATGACTATCAATCACTATGTTAGAATTAATTTAATTCCTAAATTTAATTTCCAACTATTGTCCAACCTGAAGAAAGTGGACTAAGCACGGTTGTCAGCTTAAAAAAAGGAGGAGGGGGCACATCCTCGGTGCAGCACTCTTCTGCTATGTTGTGGAAATAGTGCTTTATTTGAAAAAAATGTTTTTGCAGGTGTTTGTTTCTAGGTAAGTTGATTGGCCTGCATTCAGCACGTTCATTATTCAGCCTTGGTTTTGTCATTCTATTTTACTTTATATGAAACTCTATTTCAAGATGCAGCTCTTCTCAGAAAAGCGCCTGCCTGGTCTCCCACAGCCCGTCTGAACAGAAGGTGTGCTGCACGCACCTGCCTAGGGCCAGCTCCAGCCTGAGTCTGGCCAGGTGATGCTCCACCCCGTCGGGGTGCCCTCTGGGTAAACATGAGCTCTCCTGGGCTGCTGCCACCACCAAAGGTTCCAGTTTCCCTGTCGCTGTGTCCCTGATGCTGGTGCTAAGGACAATGAACTTTTAAAAACAATCTTCCCTTTCTTCTCTAATCTGGTAGTACAACAAAGCTTGAGACAGGAACCAATCTAGTGGTAGAGAGTGCATCTAAATCAAATAAACATTGAACTTGACTTTCTCTGACACTGCTTCCCAGAATCTCCTGAAAGGTGCAGAGATCTTTGGGACAGGCTGTTTTGGAGAGCCTGGCTGAGGATGCTATTGCAGGGTCTGAGGTGCAACATTTAAGGGGGCATAAAGAAAGGGGGACCACCTCACACCTGTTAGAATGGATGGCTATTATCAGAAAGACAACAAATAATAAGTGTTGATAAGAATGTGGAGAAAAGGGAACCCTCATACACTGTTGGTGAGATTGTAAATTGGTGTAGCCATTATGGAGAACAGTATGGAGGCTCCTCAAAAAATTAAAAGCAGAACTCCGTATGATCCAGTAATTCCACTTCCGGGTATTTCTCCAAAAAAACAAAAACCCTAATTTGAAAAGATATATGCACCCCTATACTCATTGCAGCATTATTTTCAATTGCCAAGATATGGAAGAGACCTAAGTGCCTGTTGATAGATTAATGGATAAAGAAGATATGGTGTGTGTGTGTGTGTGTGTGTGTGTGTGTGTGTGTGTGTGTGT